CCGGTGGCACAGTCCTAACAGTATATCCGAACTCAACCTGAGATCCCAATGACTAACTCTGGTAAAACCTTCAGGGGGTGTTGACTGCAGTGGGCCTCAGAGGGGTCACAATGGCCTAAGTCGAGCTCTGTAAGTCTTTTCATTGCAAGAAAACTGTGCTACACACCTAAGTCGAGCTCTGTAAGTCTTAAGGACCACAGAGTCGACTCAGGCGCAGATGACGGCGCACAGAGCGCGTGGGAACTAGCTAACACGACCATACTGTTGGCAGCAGTGGTGTGATCTGGTCGATGATGGCGAATGGGGCGCAGATAGCGAGTGCAGAGAGCGAATGATAGAGCTAAGGAAGAGCGAGAGAGAGAGAGGCATAGACGCATAGACAAGAGGTTTAGGGCACCAAACTGGCACTCAGGGCTCTCCAGGCCCAGACAGAACAAAGCCCCACCCAGGCCTCAAACACAAACCGAAGAGGCTCGTCGCCATACGGACTAAAGAGCAGGTAGGTACATGATGAGCTGGCAGTACCGATGTGCTATTTGTATGTATTTGGTCACTCGGCGATGGCCGGACGGCAAACTCCAACAGGAATGGCGCCAAACGGACCAGAAGTGCGTAAGGTAGACACTATTCTAGAGTGCAGTCAGATCTACAGTAATGGAGACTACTAGTGAAAGAAATGCGGTATCTCTATGTAAACCAGAGTTGTGACTATACGAAAATTACCGTAGATAGCGGACAGCGCGAACTATGTATAGCGCGATGCGGGACTTGGTGCGATTACAATCGACGGCGCTACAGCACCGATTCCAACACTCCCCCCTAATCCATCAAGTCCCCAATCCAAGCATCTTCACCATCTCAAGCACCTTGGGCTTGGGCAGCGACTTGGTCAGGATGTCTGCTGGCATGTCAGATGTGCGCAGATGCACAATCTCAAGCCGACCCTTGGCCACCTCATCTCTGAGCCAGTAGAAGCGCAGATCCAAGTGCTTCATCCGCCCATGGTGCTCTGGGTTCTTGGCCACAGAGAGCACAGAGAGGTTGTCGATGCGAAGCTTGGAGGCAGAGGAAATGTCATAGCCAAACTCAGAGAGCAGATTTCGCAACCAGAGCACCTCCTGGCCAGCTGAGACCGCTGCAACGAATTCTGCCTCTGTGGTGGAGAGAGCGACCAGGGATTGAAGGCGACTCGACCAGGAGATCGCTCCAGTGCCCATCTTGATCACATAGCCAGAGGTAGAGCGACCGGTGTCTGGGCAGCCTGCATGGTCTGCATCCGTGTAGGAGGTGAAGAGCTCTGAGTCCGACGAAGGGGAGTAGGTGAGCTTGTAGTCGAGGGTGCCCTTGATGTAGCGAAACAGGTGCTTGACTGCCTTCCAGTGGATGATGCCTGGGTTCTGCGAAAAGCGTGCTAGGTTGCCCACAGTGCGAGCTATGTCTGGGCGAGTTGCCACAGCCAGGTAGAAGAGGGAACCCACCGCTTGGTGGTAGGGAATGCTCTGCATCTCACGAATGTCAGAGGGCGAAGATGGGGCCAGTATCTGCACTGAGGCGAAGGCCAGGATCCATAGGAGTGCCCAC